TTTTTTGTGTTGCTTTTCACTCACCTTTCACTCACCTTTGGGTTGTGGCCCATGCGTGGAAGAGAGGCCGAAAACAAAATTTTGCGGTGTTTCCCATCATGAGGGAATTTCAGTCCGTGTCAGACCCTCGTCCAAGTTGTCTGTAGTCCCCGCAAATGTTTCACATGGGCAATGCTTTTGTCCTCTTCCTTTCACATGCATGTGCCCCCATATTTTTTGGGAGGTGTTTGGGAGGGTTCGATCCCCTCACCTACAGCAAATGGTGTATGGAGTTACTCTTGCCCTTGTTTTCTTACGTTTATTTTCCCTATTTCACGCTGCCACCCACCTGTCCCCCACCCGTCCCCCACCCGTCACACTAATCCACATACCTGGCTAGTGGGATCTCCCTCCTGATGTTTCCATGTTTTTTTTTTTTTTTTTTTTTTTTTTAATTTGGACCAAGAGCTAGCTATGCTAGCTATGTGGCTACAACCTCGGCCCGATGCGGACGGTCGTATTCTGGCTTCCCTCTACCGGCTTAGGCCAGAGCCACAGATTCCAGCCTCATCAACAGGAGGGTAGAAACAATTCCGAGTAAAGGCGAGGTTCTATCTACGAGATAAATACTTACCTTCATCCTAAGTTACTGCGGAGTACTCCGTAGAGTCCGTATTCCCTTAGTTTTTATTTTTATTTTTATTTTTATGGATATATCAGTGTATATTACTCAAAAATCTGAAACGAGGCGGCGGACCTCCCAATCCAACCCAGAGTTATCCTCGCAGCCTCAGCCAGTTCAGCTTACGAGCAAAGCTCGGTATTCCCTTAGTTTCAGTTCTTTTTTTTTTTTTCTTTTTTTTTTTCAAAATAAATTGCTCCAATCTATTCGTGGGGAGCATCACGTGTATTTACTCAAAAATCTGAAACGAGGGCGGCGGACCTCCCAATTCAACCCAGAGTTATCCTGGCAGCCTCAGCCAGTTTAGCTTACGAGCAAAGCTCGGTATTCCCTTAGTTTCAGTTC